TCCTTTTTCCTGTAATTTCCCTTTTTCCTGTAATTACTCAGAAGCCGCCGGGCTTTTGTTCGGGGGGCTCCTGGTCCCCATGGCACGTCCCGACACCTCCACCTTTTCTACAACATCCAGCTGCTTCAAGAAGGGCCTGAGGATGCTCTCCGGGGGCTCCCCACCCTGTCCCTCCTCTATAGTCCCATCTCATTTTGGAGATGGAGAATTATTACCACATTGTCACAGGACGTGGGGTCCTGTTTCCCTCCTGCCTGTCATCCTCTCCCTCTTCCAGACCTTCCTCTCCACACTCCATCCTTACTCTTCCATTTTTCCCCTTTGCTGCTCCCCCTCCCTTTGATGCTCGGGGCTTTTCTGGATGCCCACCTCACCTTCTCTCGTCCCCTTGTTCTCCAACCCACGGGGACACGACAACACATGAGAAGACAATGAGAAAAAATGTCTCTGAGCGTTTCTCCTCATCCCTTTGGTTTTGTTTTCCTTCCCCCCCCGCAGTTCCTTCTCCTGTTCTTTTTTTTCTTAGGCAAAAAAACCAAGCACTTGGCTCTTGGATCAGTATCTCCAGCTCCTGAGGAGGACCCAAGCCTGCTCTGGAGGTTGCCTCCTGCTGGGAACTGCTTTTTTATCCTCCTTTCCCTTCTCTGGGATGCTTCCCTACACCCCACACGCAGCCCTTGTGCCAAAATCTCCAGCACCTACACACTAAGCACTTAATATATCAGCACTTTACATGTTTAAAACCCACCCTCGGGTCTTTTCCACAACAACTACAGAAGGCTGAGCGGCTCCTCTCACCTCCTGGTGCCCTACAGCCCCCTGGTAAGGTTTTAATAGGTATCCCTGCCTCAGCTCCTGTCTGGATATCAAAGCTGGCGTGATAAAAGGAACTTTAACTGCAGCCGTTGTGAAAGCTGTGGTGCCAGAGTGAGCCCCAAGCATGGTCTGCGTCGGGGAAGAACATCACCACAGGGCTGGCACGGCCCTTTTGGGAGGCTCCCCAGGTCCAGAAGGACAGGGAACTGCTGGAGAGGGGAGAGCAGATGTGCTGAGGGGCCTGGAGCATCTCCCTTATGAGGAGAGGCTGAGGGACTTGGGTCTTTTTAAGTCTAGAGAAGAGAAGGCTGAAGGGAGATCTATAAACTGGAGAAGAGAAGGCTGAGGGGAGATCTATAAATCCTATAAATCCTTAAAGGGAGGGTGTCAGGAGGATGGGGCCAGGCTTTTTTCAGTGATGCCCAGGGACAGGACAAGAGGAAGTGGGCACAAACTTTAATTTCCACCTAAACAGGAGGAGAAACTTCTTTCCTGTGAGGGTGGCAGAGCCCTGGCAGAGGCTGCCCAGGGAGGGGACGGAGTCTCCTTCTCTGGAGACACTCAAACCCCACCTGGACACGTTCCTGCTCTGGGTGGCCCTGCTTTGGCAGGGGGGTTGGACTAGATGATCCCCAGAGGTCCCTTCCAACCCCATGGGATTCTGTTTCTGTGATTCTGAGACTCCAGGAGTCATTTCCTATCACTAAAATACACCAAATACACTACACTGGCTTCCGAGACACTGGCAGAACATCTACTGCTACATCGGTGCCGCTTTGAGGGGCGGCAGAGGATCCGAGGGACACGGGACCAGAATCAGGAAAGCATCCTTCCTCCAACTTCCATCCTTCCTCCGACCGGGAGGACTGGCACATCCCTACTCTGGGTGAGGACCACGGTCCTTCCCGACCCCTCCTGGCTCCTGGGAGGGGAAAATGGATCGTGCCGACCAGCGACGATGCCGACAGCCAGGAGAGGTTTTAATGAAAAATCTATGGCGAGCGGGATTAAGGCAGTAGAGGGGAGGGGTCTCTAAATAAATCACAAATAAAGGACATCTGAGGAATAGCAAAGACTCCTCGGTGCCCATGTCTCCATGTTCAACACCGACATCTGTGCCAGATGTCCTGGACCCCGAAATGATGCCATGCCCCCCTACGCTGCTAGGGCACATCCTCCTTCTTCTCTACTCTGCTATGAGGAGGATGCCAGGGCTCAAAAGCCATCATCTACACCAAAACATTGACCCTCAGCTCTGCTGAAATATCCCCCACGTCCTGAAATGACACCACACCAGGGAGGGAAGTCCAAGCCCTGGCTATGGTCTGCCCTGGTGTTGCACCAAAACCAGTTTGTGGTGCAATGTGGTAAGATCTCCCAGCTTGAGCATCCCACCTGGAGTCTCCAGGGACCTGAGGAGGGTTTCCCTGGGTTCCTACCTCCCTGGTGGAGCCCCACGGCACCCTCCGCCCAAGCTCTCAAGGCCGGGAAGAAGATGAGGTGGCTCATCTTCTGCCCATACGAGATTTAACGCCAGTTCTCTCCATATTCATAACTCACACCAAACACACCCCTGTGTCCCTGAAAGCATCCATCCCGTTGTCACGAGGCCACCTCCCAAAACCCAGAGGAACAGCAAACAAACAAAAAAAAACCACCAACCACCCTCTGGCTCGCTGCCATCTACGCTCTCGCAGACCCTCGTTAGCAGCTGTGGTGATGAACCCATCCGAGGAATGTATTAATAACACCACTAAGAGACACTTTCACTGTTGACGGCGTCTCCCCGGCAGATTTATGGCCGGGGGGTGGGGAGGGAAGGCCGGGCCCCGCGGCCGCACCGTTAAAACCCCATTGAACACGGGGACAAAGAATCAATACCCCATCCAGACAACTTTTAGTTTGGCAAAAGACAAATATAAATTAATGGACCTGAAGGCGGCCGCTAACTGGTCACAGCTGCCTGCGTGGCACAGGGGGGGACCTGATGCTGGGCCCTGCCTGGCCACCCCGTGGTCCTCCTGCCCCCGCTAACTGGTCACAGCTGCCTGCGTGGCACGGGGGGGTGGCCTGAGGCTAGGCCCTGCCTGCCCACCCCTGTGGTCCTTCTGCCCTGGCTGCCTCCTTGATGAAGGAGGTCCCAAAACCTCATTTTTAGGCCAATATTTCAGGTCAACAGAGCTACAAGGGAAACAGGGCTTTGCTCCTTCCATGTGAAGAGCATGCTCGGCTTCCATGGATGGCAATGCGTCCTTGGAACACCGCTCCCTTCCTCCCAACACAGACTGAAGGCCAAACTCTTACTCATCCTGGTAGACCAGGTGACCATGGCTCCCATGGCTCCCATGCCGGCGAGCAATGCTTCTGAAAAGCATGTTTTAGCTACCAGGCGACTGCTCTGGAGTTGAGACAAGACCAGAGCTCTGGTCTACTTTGCTCTACTTTGCTGCCACCACCCATGAGACACCACGTCCATCGACACATGGACTTCCTCAGCCTAACAACGTGGGCAAACCCCATGGCTTGAGCTCAACACATGAACAACCAAATGCAAAACCACCTAGGCATGGTCTACCTCACCTGGGCCTCAGGTAGGTCACATCCCGACCCTCCCTGTGGCCACGCAGATGCAACCTGGCCAACGATTGCTGCAGTGGGAGCAATTTGATGAGGCTTGCTCGTGCTGGACCAAATTCCCAGCACATTTAGGAATGCCTCACCATCGGATCCTCGCTCCGGATGCAAACTATCCATTGCCTTTGCCCTCCTGAGCCTGACAAGCATTCCGAAAATAGGGTGAGGGGAGAGGGTGTGGAACTGCCTTCTGCTGAATCCCCCAAATTCATGAGGTGCAAAGCACTCGGGTACTTCACCGGTGTTGACTGGATGGATTACGGCGATTAGAGAGAAGACAGGATAAACAGATTAAACTGCACACACGGACGGCTCGCACGCAACTCCAACAGGGGGAGAGGGATAGACCCAAAAGGGGATGAAGGGGGTGCTCCTGATGGAACGTTGCTCCCCTCTTCCTGAGCCCCACCGGGACCGGCCCGGAAAAACGCTAGGAGGGGTGGCCCCGATCGAACCCTACCTCCTCCCAATGAGGGAGGATGCATAAATACACGCGTTTCGGTGCCAAAGAGCTTCTCGGGGACCTGTCGAGGCCGAGAAATTTCTCAGATTTGCTCATTGCAAAATCAATACCCATCAGCTGTTTGAAATTAAAGGAAAGATTAGGCCCTGGTTTTATACACGCTTTATTGTATTCCGAGAGCTTTCTACTCGGCCAGATAAATCTTCTTTAAGAGGATTAAGAAACTTTCATTATCTTTATCTAACCTGAACTAACACTAACTCTGAAAAATTAATCTAGACACTGGACAAAAGCCGGTAGCCGGCGCAAAGCCGCCGGGATCTGGAGGTGGTGTCCACCAGGGCGCTACGGACCCCTCGGATCTGCTGGCACCTGGAGAACCTCCATCATATCAACCTCCGGAACGCTGCTTTGTGACCCAACAGCATCTGTCACATCAACATGCCCACCTTCAAAGCCCTGAGCCCCTCACGGCCACTGCGGGTGACTTGGACATGCTCGTGGGCTTGTCCTTCTCTCCCAAAACCAAGGAGCCTTGAAAGCACTTGGCTTTTGGCTCTGCTGTAGCATCTTTGGACACGTGCCTGATGACCAAAAAGCTCCCCTACGCGGCAATTAGAGCGACGATGGGCCCCGAATGGCAGGGACGGGTCAAATGCATGGCAGGGACGGGTCAAATGCATGGCAGGGACAGGTCAAAGTCACAGAAGGGATGGGCGAGGAGGACATTGAACCTGACTCCTCTTCCCTGGTGTCCTGTACCCCCCGGGCAACGATACGCGGGTCAAATGCATGGCAGGGACGGGTCAAAGTCACAGAAGGGTTGGGCAAGGAGGACATTGACCCTGATTCCTCTTCCCTGGTGTCCTGTACCCCCTGGACAACAATACAACACGGCGAAGCTCAGTCAATGCCAGTCCATCTGCTCCCCCTTGGCAACCCCAATGGCCCCAAGAGCCTCGACCCCTGACACAACACATATCGGTCCGATCCCTATATCTCTGTTGCCTTGAAGGCCTCCAAGGTCTCCCCAAGTCCACGCGTTATTCCATATCCCAAAGTTTGGCAATAGGATGTTAAGACCTACCTTGCACGATGAGGTGGACGCGCGAAGTCTTGGGGTGATTGTCTGTCTGCACGGAGCAGGTGTAGGGCCCCTCATCGTAGACGTCCACGTTGTGGATCTTGATGCTGTACTGGGTCTTGGTGTTGGAGAGGATGACCACCCGGTTGTCTATAGACCACTTGTCGTTGCCGGCGTACAGGATGGTGCTGCGGTTCAACCACGCTACCCGTGTCACCCTGTCATCCACGGTACACCTGCAAAGGAAGACACAGAGGGGTCAACCACGTTGGGGCAGAACCAACGGCCCAAAAGGATCCCAAATGGAGATGTGAGTAGGGTGAGTAGGGTGAGAGCCATTGTGCTCTGCTGGACTGCCAGTACGGAGATGGCGCACGCCACACCCCGGGTACCTCACTGCCATGTCCCCCATCCCCTGAGATTTCACACCAACGGCGGGTCCACCAGAAAAAAAGCCCTGCCTTTCCCTTTTTATACAGAGCTGGGAAGCCACAGGCAAAAAAACACATTACATTGGACCTCCGCGAGGCGTGTGGACTTTCCCTGTGCCCCACCTCGCCCTCCCTTCACGCAGGGAATTTCAAATAAAGCTGTCAAATTCCCTGATGGTTCCCCTGGTCGGCACGGCCCCGGAGCCATCCCTGGGTTGATAAAGTCCCCCCCACTGTCGGGGTGAAGGACCCGGACGCACGTAAAGGGAGAGGGGAGGAAGGGAAAGAGGGTGAAGCCGGAGCACGGAGACGAGAAGGGACCATTTGGATAAGGAGCTGTAAATCCTGTGTGTGCCCCCAAAACACAACGTGGTCGTTGCTGTTATTTATTTCCTGCCTGGGTCCCCCCTGCCCCGCACAGGGGCTCGGCGGCTCCGCTCCCTGGCACTGACTTACGCCCAGCGAGGAACCGACGGAGGAGGGGAAAAAAAGGGAATTACAACGTTCCCGGAGAACACGGCTCTTTCATTCCCCGTGATAGATTTTTTTCTCGTTCTATTTATTTCTGCCCTTTCTCTGCCTCCGCCACGGCACCCGCGGCAAAACCGCCGAGCGTTTGGATAAATTAAGAGCCCGGCGTTTCTCGGGAGCTTCTCCTTGCCCCCACGGGGACCGTGGGCAATCAAAGTGGGAGAGCTGAGATTGGTCCGAGCGTGTGCCGGAGGCCGAGATTTTAGGGAAAAGGCACTGATATTGGGTCGAGAAACCCATAAATTCCGAGAGGGGCCATCGGGCTGTCCCCCTCCCCGCTGCAGAAGCTTTTTGGGTGTTATATGCCTCCCTTGCCAGGACGGGCCTCACCTCAATCGAGATTATTAATTGGGTGGAAGGAAGGGGACGATGCTCGGCATCTTTGAGGGTCCCCCCGGGGGGAATGAGCCATATATCCTCCCCAAAAATGAGTACTTCTCCCCTTGCAGGGAGCTCTACGTCTCCACCAGCCACCACGCATAGGGATGCTGGGGAAGATGGATGGTCCTCCATGCCCAACACGGCCATCGGCCTCGTGCCGGCCAACGGTGCCATCCTGGTTGGGAAGCCAAGCCCTCCCTTCGTCCCAATTAACGAGGGGGAGAGCTAAGCGCGGCCGAGTTAAGTTGGGCCCCAGGGGGACTCCAGTCTAGTGGACTATTACTGCTGTCTCACTTCATTATAATGAATAATAAAGAGATACTTACACGCAGCTTCTGTAAATTATTCATTGCGCGCGCTGAGAAATCAGGGCAGCAATATGTAAAACAGACAACTCGCGTGTCTGCGCTCGTATAAATATCCAGACTACAGCCCCACGAGGGACTCGCCCGGCCCCTCATTAGGGGTGAAGCACAAGAACTCGGGTTGGAAGTGACAGGGACGAGGAGCTGGTGTACGTTCAGCCTCCTGGTTTGGGCCGGGTGGGCTTCCTGGGGAGATCTGGGGCTCGTCTGGCACCCTCCAGAAATGGGGACACTAATTCTGTGTCTACTCTTTGCCTCAATGGCTCTGAGATGCCCGTGCAGATGTGATGCCCATAACACAAACAGACACGCAGAGCAAGGGCATCGCCCTCCCTTGCCCCTGGGAGCTGGTATCACCCTCAAAACCACTTAGAGCAACCTGGAGACTCTTCCTTCCAACACTCTTGTGCCAGGAATGAGGAGGCATCAGCTCCTTCTCCCCATCCCTCGAGCTCGCTCATCAGTTGGTACCACTCAATAGCTAATTTTCAACCACATCCCATCATCTCTCCCGTCTCCACTGAAGGCCAGGATGTCCCCTACACGCAGGAAGGGACCAGAGCCCCATCCCTCGAGCTCGCTCATCAGTTGGTGCCACTCAATAGCTAATTTTCAACCACGTCCCATCATCTCTCCGGTCTCCAGATGTCCCCTACATGCAGGAAGGGACCAGACAAAGCTCCCTTCCTTCAGAAAACCACCCTTCCTGGACCTCCTGGCAAGGTGTCCCAGCAACCACTGCTAAAAAAGCCACCATCCACCACCTGCCATGGACAGGGTGGCATTTCCAGAGCCACCCTCTTGCCCCACCTCGCCTTCCAGCGGCGATTTTTCCTGCACCCTAGGAATGGGTGTCTCAAAGGCTGATACTGATGGGCAGCTGGATCCATAAAACACCCCACTGGCTTCTTTCCCTGGCTCAGAAAGCCATCTCCATTAACATCTAAGCTGCTGGCTCCCCCTCATCCTCCGAACCGTCTTTGCTACCTGTTTCCAATTGACCAGGATTATGATAATGTCTCCAGTAAGCAAACAGGGAAAGAGACTTCTGCAAAGCGTTTCGATAAAGCAGACAAGCTCTGACCAAGCTGGATAATAAAGGAGGCCGGGAGGTTTTTCCTCGAAGGGATCTAATTAAGAACAAAGACAAACCCCCATTAACAAGCTCCTGAAGGCGCCGTATCCATCTCCAGAAGAAACCCTGCCTTACGTGTCCGGGAGGGACAAAAGACAATAAAGTGCCTGTCAGATGGGGGGAAATAAACCCATCCTGGATCTCACTGGGAGAAAACCCATCGGGGCATTTTTGGGGAGCCCAGAACTCAAGAAGCCAACACCCGCCGTGTCCCTTCTTCATGCGGCGTGACCCATCCCATCCTGTCCTCCATCCACATCCATCCCACTTTGATCCTCCCTCTCCCTTCGAGCACGGGCTTTTCACCATCTGCAGCCTCCCACCATCCAGACCATTCGCCGGGGACCCTCGGATGCTGGGCTTCACCCCAGATCACCCCCCGATGCTCCCCCCCGATAGAGGTGGCCTCTGGGGTGATGAACCCAAACGTGGCAGCTCCATGCCCCTACATGCAGGAAGGGACCAGACAAAGCTCCCTTCCTTCAGAAAACCACCCTTCCTGGACCTCCTGGCAAGGTGTCCCAGCAACCACTGCTAAAAAAGCCACCATCCACCACCTGCCATGGACAGGGTGGCATTTCCAGAGCCACCCTCTTGCCCCACCTCGCCTTCCAGCGGCGATTTTTCCTGCACCCTAGGAATGGGTGTCTCAAAGGCTGATACTGATGGGCAGCTGGATCCATAAAACACCCCACTGGCTTCTTTCCCTGGCTCAGAAAGCCATCTCCATTAACATCTAAGCTGCTGGCTCCCCCTCATCCTCCGAACCGTCTTTGCTACCTGTTTCCAATTGACCAGGATTATGATAATGTCTCCAGTAAGCAAACAGGGAAAAAGACTTCTGCAAAGCGTTTCGATAAAGCAGACAAGCTCTGACCAAGCTGGATAATAAAGGAGGCTGGGAGGTTTTTCCTCGAAGGGATCTAATTAAGAACAAAGACAAACCCCCATTAACAAGCTCCTGAAGGCGCCGTATCCATCTCCAGAAGAAACCCTGCCTTACGTGTCCGGGAGGGACAAAAGACAATAAAGTGCCTGTCAGATGGGGGGAAATAAACCCATCCTGGATCTCACTGGGAGAAAACCCATCGGGGCATTTTTGGGGAGCCCAGAACTCAAGAAGCCAACACCCGCCGTGTCCCTTCTTCATGCGGCGTGACCCATCCCATCCTGTCCTCCATCCACATCCATCCCACTTTGATCCTCCCTCTCCCTTCGAGCACGGGCTTTTCACCATCTGCAGCCTCCCACCATCCAGACCATTCGCCGGGGACCCTCGGATGCTGGGCTTCACCCCAGATCACCCCCTGATGCTCCCCCCCGATAGAGGTGGCCTCTGAGGTGATGAACCCGAACGCCACATCTCCACAAGATGCATGAGGTGGGGAGCCGGGGGCAGCGCCGCTTCCCCTCTAATTGCCCCAATTCCTCATCCTTAAATGCTAATTCCGAGGGCTGCCGAGGAGCTATTTCACTTAGTGTCAACAAAATAGATAACTCCACCGAGGGGCTCTGGTCACAAAGTGACCATCTCCCTCCTCCTGCAGCTCTTAGGAGAGACCCCTGTGTCCCTCCCGCCCGGCCCCATCAATGACACTCCGTGTGGGACGTGATGTTACACCCACTGCCTTCCTTCCCCACCTTTCCCACTCCTTTTTTGGGCTCCTGACTTGGACCCAAGCCCTGCATCGTGATGCTGGGGACGCCCTCGACGCCTGCCCTGGGGCTGGCACGAGTTTTCTGGCAAAAATTTCCCAAGATAAACGACACGCGAGGAGTCGGAGGCATAAAAATAAGTCTGGCAAACCCTTCTCTGGGCGTGCAAAGTATCCCAAAAGATGAGGTGCTTTGGGATCCTGAAACCTGGGTCGCATCCCCAGCTCTCCAGGAGACCGGTTCCCCCCCAAACGCTCTCTGGATCAACCTCAAACCCTCCCGCTTCCCTCTGCAAACCTCCAACCCTCTACTTTTAAACACTTCCACATCCTCTCAACCCCAAATCTCCAACTTCTCTCCCGCAGGCGACGCGCCTCGTCAAAATGACAAATGCAGGTGCCAAAACTGGTCCCGAACTGGCTGCCTGACCCAGTTTTGGGTGGTTGAAAATAGCTCGCTCGGATCGGCAGCGGAGCCCTCTGTGGCACCAGGGTGGAGTTTCCAACCCACGGTACCTGTCACAGGGGTGGCACCAACACCCCGGCACCCTCCCCTTTAAGAAGGAAGTGCTAATTACGTTTGCCGGGGACTCCGAATGGGATTTCTCCTTCTTTTCCTGTGCTGGGAGTCAATGGATTCCCAAAACCTTTCATCCCGGGCGGCCGGAGCAAAGGCAGCGGAGATTTATTCGTAACCATCGGAAATGAACGCGCTCCCTCAGAAGCCAAGACAAAAAGAA